TCATCGCTTTCTGGTTTCATTTAAAAGAGTCGATCATCAGATATTGTCCAAGATTAACCTTCAGGGTGGACATAGCTCGCTAGCAGCCTCACACCGATGACCTACCCATGTCATCATTTACCCAGAATGCTTTGCRTGTAAATAAAATGGCCCCATCCGTGTAACATATTTTTAAATTTTTAGTTTAAAAATTATAAAAACTAGGCATCCTACAGTATTTTTAATCTTTATTTTACAGTTAAAATAAATGTTTATCAAATAAAGTCTAATGTTACAACTAATCAGGGATCCCTTTAAGTGTTTTTATTGTCTGGTTTCTAAGAGGGAATTCTCTCTGAGTTAAATATAAATGTGAATAATGTCATGAATCAGTGTAAAGTGCTCACTTGTAGAGCTCAAAAAGCCACATTCAGCGGATGTGCGAGTGTGGGCAGCAAGAAGTTCAAGTGGATCGTCCTGTTCCATTTTTTTTAAAAACACTGAGTCATGAATGGGTCACCTGTAAATTAGCATTTCCAATGTTTCCCCTCCCCTCAAAAGAGAGACAAAATCTTATAAAGCTTCAGAACAAAAAGCAGAAGAAGTCCTTTCTTCTTTGTTTCAAGCGCCACTTTCTTGTTATGAGCCGCTTTCAACACTTGGCTTGTGCATCTTCTATCAGAGGAGCAAAACAAAAACAAAACACCACTCAAAAGTCAACAGAAGCTCATTTTGAATCACTGATGGGATTTAAATGGCACCAAATAAAGCAAAAATCAGTCTTTTCTTTCACTAACCCTTAAACACGTCACTGCTCATGTTTGTCAGTCGTTGCAGTGCAGTAAAGGCGTCCATGTTGCAGCAGCAGCATCCGTTTGGGTTATTCCTATCGTGTTGCTGTGGCAACAGGCCCGCGCATGCGAGAGAAAGAGAGAGAGGGTAAAAAAAATGTATAAAACTCTAAAAATATGCCCATTCCTCACAAGAAATGATCAGTCAAAGCGCTCCATTTCTTTCTTTTATACAATTTTTTTCTCCCCCAGCATTAAAATTTAAAAGTCTATATAAACGGTTTGCAGTCCACACGCAGTGGGGTTTTTATTTTAGAGAAGCACTGAGGAGCTTTGATAAACAAGCTGCAGGAATTAAGACTCGCTGCACTTTGCAGTTGGGTGACCTGCACGATGGATCCAGAGAGCATCGTCCACACCTGGGTCAGTCCCTCTGTGGGGGCGTGGAGGTCGGACACGCTCGGTAACGACGGCGGGCAGAGGTAGGGTCACACGGGGAAGTTTATTTCTTTGTGTCCTGGTTTTAATGGAAGTGAACTTCACTGATTAGGAGACAGAGGCACAGAGAGATCTTAATAATGTGTTGTTGTTTTAAGAATGGACAAATTATGGATTTGGCTGATGAGAGGCATTGGTTTGTCCAATTCAACAAGCGCGCTCAAAACCTGCGGAGCTGCACAAAATGAGAGCAGGAGTATGAAGTGTGGAAAGTGCCACAGATTAGCTGAGAGAAACTCTCCTGTGGCATTATGGCTGAAGTACAGCTGTCTCTCCTAAAGGTTTCTTAAAACATTTATTCAACATATTGAAGAAGTCGAACGTCTTGAAAAAACAATTGAATCTTATTTAACTTTAATCAAAGACTTTAAGAGAGCTGTTTGCTTCTATTACTAGTTGTCCTTTTAGAATAGGATGTAAATGTCCTGATTGTTGGAACAATTTATTCTTTCCCTAATTGCATAAACAGCAGATTAATATTTTTAATTAAAACATACAGCAGTGTTGTGTGATGATGCTCATGGGTGGGTTGACAGAAAACATAGACATATGCATTTGCAGAGTGTATTCGATTATTAATACATTTTTATTATCAGAAAAGTCAGACACTTTACCAGATTATTCTAAACAACCGAAGGTCCAGGAGGTCTGTGATTTAAGGACAGTTTCTGTCTTTCTCCTGCACTGTACACTGAAAAAAACAAACTTTTGGGTGTCGTAATATTTATTTAATTGTTCTTTTAAATTTTACAAAAAAAATCATAATCTCTAAACTACTAGAATTTACTAAATAAACAATACGCATTATGTTATATATCAATATTACTGTACAAAAAAAGTAAAAGCTAATATAATTTTCCCAGTAATATTGAAGTGTTTTTTCTGGNTGGGTGTAGTAACATTTATTTAATTATTCTTTTAAATTTTACAAAAAAATATCAAAATCTCTAAACTTCTAGAATTAACTAACTAAACAATACGCGCATTATGTTATATATCAATTTTACTGTAAAAAAGGTAAATCCTAATATTATTTTACCAGTATCAGGTAAATTTTACCTAAATTGATCAAGTACATGTTACAAGATTTAATTGAGCAAATTAAGTAAAATTTACCTGATTTATTCACAAATCTTTAACTATATTCTTAATAACTTTTACTAGATAAAAATGAGTACATATCACATGAATTTGTAGCATTTAAATTTACTTAACAAACATTAATGCAAATTGTTACGAGGATTCTTTCAAGTAAATCTGACAAGTTATTTTTTTCAGTGTACTTGTTTATTTAGCAACCAAAGCATATTTTCTTTCACTTCATAGCTCTGTTTGTTCATATTTAACAAGATATTTTTAAACTAAAATGATTTCTGTTATCATAGATTAGCCAGCTTTAGATTAGATTAGAGAGACCTTTAATGTCATCGCACAGAGCACAATGAAATAACAGTTGACAGTTTGACATGTTTCACATGCAGTTTGTGCCAAGCTCCAACAGATCCCGTCAGCTTTTGATTTGAAGAACCAAAAATGTTGTCAGTTACATCAAAAAGATAAACCTAAAAACACAAAGAATTGAAAATGATCTTCAGACGTGTGAGTTTCACTAGTCAGGAGTCACCTCTCTGGAAAGTTTGGGTACAAAAATTATTTTTTTGAATGTTCAATTTGACACAAATGATTTCTTGTTTTGTTTCTAAGTCCAGTTTTGGGAAATGAAAAAAATTACACTGGAAACAAAGTTACATCACCATCATGGGTTGTTGGCTACCAGTCCCTTTTAACGTCCTTAAAGAAATTCTCTCATTCTGAAGATGACCTGAGGTCTGGCTTTGTCTTCTTCTTTGCCTCAGAATTGGCACAATTCATCCTTCATATACAGCTGCTTGTTTACTTTATGAGAGATCAAACTTGCAGTGCAACAAGTGATGAGTCTTGAGCCAAGCTCCAGGAATCAAACAAGCTAAATTTAAAATACAACAGCTGATGGCACATTTTGCCATCATGCAACAAGAATGTATTTTAAATTGATTAAAAACCCTATAATATTTGTTGAGACTGTTTGTCCTGTCATTATATCTTTGTTGATTTGATTTATTAGCAATCAATACTTGGTTTTGTATCACTATTCCTTTGTGGATCAGAAGCTAAAATATTTGCTGCTGTAAAGTATTTTATTTTATTTACAATCCTGCCTGCTGTTAGAAACAAGTGCTGCAAGTCACTGTTGTTATGGTATCAGTTCATAAAGTACGTCAACTTATAAATTATATAAAATAGATGTTTAAAACTGAATTATTTTATGTCGGGTCGTCAGGGTTTAGCCTAAGAAGCAGATATTTTTGGTTATACTGTATTTTACTTGCTAAAGATTATCATGTTTTAATCAACTAGTGTTCAGTTCATGACATGTTCGTGTTCTGATCATTTTAGCTTTTTCCTTTTAAGACATACTTTTAATTTCTTTGGTTTTGTGGGGGTCTTTTGTTAAAAACTCTTTAACGGCAGTAATGGTTTTAAAAAAAGATGTAAATTGTAGCGCTTATTCCCTGGAATGCCAAGGTGACACGACAATATGACTGATGTCAGACCACTTCAACCTGTAATTGTACAGCATCTAATTAAGGGTCATTAAATGCACCATTATGTGCATGTGCACATGTGTGGGTAGAGCAGTGAGACAGACAGACGGATAAAACTCTCAGACTGTGACAAGCAGCTCTCTGTTGAAGTGTTTTCTCCTCCAGAACTCGTCTCTGCTCTGCCACCCGACCAGATGCTACAGCTGTGCAACAGATCGCGCCGCAGGGACTTTCTCGGTCGCTCCTCTGTGTTGCGTCTCTCTGGATCTGTCGTGGAGTTTCAAAAACACAACGGCCCATGATTCTCGCACCTTCTGATTGCGGTCGCTTCAAACACAAGCCAGGATTTGGGCTTAACGAAGCAGAAAAAGCAGCACATCTTCAAAAGCATCTTCTAATTTCTTAAAATTCTTAGCTTTTATTTTATTATTTTTTATAATTGTCCTTATCTAGTCTCCTTTTTGATATCAGTGCTTTGAAAATTAATAATGTGAAAATTTATTTATTGCTCCCAAACAACAAAACTGAGTCATTTTTTACTTTTTTCTTATTTTTCTTTTTTTGCATTTCTCATTGTTTGACAGTTTATTCTTGCACAAATAATATTTTTATTACATGAATGTTATACTGGTCATACAATATGTGTTGCTTTACCTTTCAGCAGAAACAAAAATTGTAGAAAGGCTTAAATGAAAGTTTTGTTTAGCTTTTTTCAAAAAGGTAATATGTTTTGTTTTTGTAATTCATTCTGAATTGGTCCACACTGGATTATAGCATCTGACATGATTATAACTAATAAGTTTTAAGGTTTATTTAGGATTATGATCATGCAGTTGTTGTCGCTGCATAAAATAATTTAGTCATTAGGCAACCCATTTACTCTTGTGGCTAAATCTCTGTCATATTGTAAAAGCTGATCTTTGATGGCTTTGGTTCAAGCTGCGCAGCAGGCAGTGTTCTCCTCAATAGCAGCCTTGTAATTGGGAAGAAAATAAGAGAGAGAGATAATTGCCTTAAACTCTCCTCAGGCAGATGATTAGATAAACAGCTAATGAATATTCATGCTGTATTTTTTTTTTTAATCCATCTGTGTGGATCTGATGGGCTTGTTTTACTGACAGCTTCTGTCCCTCTCCTTTCCTGTCAGGGTGCAGGTTGAGTTTTACGTGAACGAAAACACCTTCAAGGAACGTCTGAAGCTTTTCTTCATCAAAAACCAAAGATCAAGTAAGTGGACGATGCATCGGGACAAAATGAAAAAAAAAAAAAACGCATTAAGATGCTTGGAATGAAACCCAGATGCATTTTGAACAAAACGAGAACAACCACACATCTTCATGAGCGTTGCACAGTAACGCCTATTTGTTTCTGCAGTGATGTCAAATGACTCAGATCCCTCCTGTCTGTTTATCTCCAGGCCTACGGATTCGTGTGTTTAACTTCTGTCTGAAGCTGCTCACCTGCCTGCTGTACATCATCAGAGTGATGACAGACAGACCCGGGCAGAGCGCCGGCGGCAGCCACAGTGCTGCGCAACAAAACACTCCAAATGGCAACAACAAATGGTTGGTTGACATAAAAAAAAGTGTCGGGTTGACTGCATTATCACGCAGATATTTGTACAACACATAAAGCATTTATGGAAAGTTAATGAACTGCAGATAGACGAGGGAACAAACAGGTCAAAGCACAGTATAACAAGAAATAAACTTAGCACATAAAGTAAGGAAAGTTGTGTTTGGTAGATTATTTTTTTGTTGTAACAATACGTCTTGGAAAAATATCTTATGACGTTGGACAGCCTGGTAATTTCCCTTTGAACGGTGCAACGTTTGTAAGGAACATGCATTTGTGGGATGAGCAGTAGAGCTGAGTATGTGGGTTGTGCACATGAAAATTTAGCCAAATCTTCTCTGCCAAACAATTCATTTTGACATTGACTCGTTTGGTGTTTTGTGGGACTAGATGATTGAAGTTTGGAGAAACAAGACATTTTGACAATTTTTTAATTTAACTAACAGGAGCCTCGGTAGCATGTGGAAGAACCATACACAGCCACAACAGTCTGGCACCTCCTTGACTGCAAGTCTGTAGAAGTTTGTAAATGCTGATAGGGTGAGGAAACAGTTTTCATGTGTGCAAGCCAAATACTGAGCTCTACTGCTCATCCCACAAATGCACATTCCTTACAAATGTGGCGCCATTTAAAAAGGAAATTAACTAACTTTGCAACAGTATAATATTTATTGTCAAGAAGCATAGTTACAACAATGACTTATCTACCAAACATAAATTTACTTACTTTTTGTTCTACATTTAGAAGGGCTGGTTATTCATTAATAAATAGGACATTAACATCTGTTACGTAACAAACATGCTTTGAATTAAAGAGATCTTACTGTATGTAGGAGGGAAAGTGTGTGAATTATTACGAGCATGTGTCAAAAAAAAGAAAACTGGTTTCTAACAAAACAGGTGTGGAACTGTAGAAAAAGATAAACTAACAGCACAATAGTTTTGTTTTGTGAATCATTATTGGCCACCACTAAAAAGTGAAGAAAGGGTAATGATTGTTGTACGTGACTGCATGTTTGTCTGTGTGTTTATGAGTCTGTTAGCAAAGTATCTCATAAACTACTGGATATCACTGGTGAATAATCGCAGAAATATCTTGAGATTATTTGCGATTAAAAATGTTAATCTATGCCCAGCACTGATATATATACTGTGTATGTATATATAATCACCTT